GAGAGAGAGAGAGAGAGAGAGAGAGAGAGAGCATTCAACAACCCAACAACCAAAGGTCTAGGTATTCAGCAACGCTTATTCACCATGTCATGTCCACGATGGGTCCTTGTCCCTTAAGAATAAATGTCAATAGCTGCTTCTGCAAGATCACAGGCAGCACTCACTCACTTGGGGTCAAAAGCAAGGGGTCAGGTTTGAATGACATGGTTCCATTTGTCATCCATCCTCCTTGTCTGAAGATCTCTGTGGACCATGGCTTCCATTGTGATGAGGAACTCTTACTTCAGAGATTAAAGCAGTATTGACCCATTAGCTTCAAAAGGGACCAAACTAGATTAGTGTGTGCCCATGCTAAGGACATAGGGGAGTAGGGTGTGACATCTAGGGGCTCTAGAGCTTTTGGGGTCTGTGTGCAACAGTTCTGCAATTGATCATGACCTTCATCATAGAAATTTAAGCACACTAAGACTTGTACTCTGTGTGTGTGTTTTGTGTCTGTGTGGGGGGTATATGCATGTTGACTTTAAGTGAGTGAATTGTATGTTGTGTGGATTATAGCTTGGTGGAGTTGTTTTGTTCTTAAAGGAAAGAGTTCAGGTATGAACGCAAGCATCCCTTCAGCCAACAATGCTGCTCCAAGTCATTACTTCAGAACTGTATTACTCAAGTGCACGGACGATAGAAATGGTTATCTGCCCCACCTCCCCACACACGCTTGGGGCAGGGTCTTAAATGTAGTTCATCCTCAACCTCCTGATTCTCCTGCCTCAGTTCCTAAGTGTTGGTACTACAGGTGTATCTCACCACCTCTGGCTTCCCTCATAGATAACAGCACATGCAGAACTTCTGCTCTCAGCCTAGTACGGAGGGGCATGTTTACAACCTCAGCACTTGGGAAGTGGAGGCAGAGGATTCAGTCATCCTCAGCTTGATGGGTTTGAGGCTAGCCTGAGCTACTTGAGACACTCTCAAACAGACAACACTACTATCCTTTATAAAGTCAACAGTGCATCTGTCTAAGGAAGGTGCCATGGGCTTTGTGTCACTGACCTTTCTGCTCCTCCCAAGTCTCTGGCCTCTGCTGAAAAGCCTTTCGGAGTGTATGTCTCCGGAACTGAAGATAAGGTGTCTGAGCCAGGGCCCGGGCTCTTTCTGAGAAGAGAAAGTGATTGCTAGGACCACATAGTTGGAGAGAGCCAAAATCCTATGTTAAAAAGCACATTTCCCCATAAAGACTCAGTGGCCACTACACTAACATCTTTAGGAAGAAGAGAAGGAAGCTTTAAGCACCCAGGGGCTTGGAGCTGCTTTGAATCACATAGGACCCTTCTACCTAAATGATTCCACATTTGAAAGCAGCTGTGTCTGCACTCCAGAAAACATGACTGCCTGCAGCCTACCACCCAATCACGCACAGCCCGTCAACGCTTCACGCTTTTCCAGTGGGTTTAGATGAATTAAAGGACAAGAAAAGAAACAAGATGTGTCATCCAAGTAGCTCCCATGCCTCCAACCACCCCTCCCCCGTGCTTTTCAGAATCCTAGTGCATCCTGAGAGGATTAGTGGGGCCACTTAACCCTTCCCTGGCCTCCTGAAAATCACCTGTCGGTTTGATCACTTAGCATGAGGGTAGAGATCATACTGGATCTGAACCTAGGGGAATTGCACCCAAGTACCTGTCAGTGAGGAGTTCTTCTGGAGCCAAGAGGTGCAGCTTCTCATCTTTGCTTTCATCAGGCTCTGGAGGGGAAGAGACACTTGTCTTCCCATACCCTACAGGAGCAGGGAGCTGAGGGCCCAGCTGTTCCTTGGCCTGCTGGTATCCGGCCTGGCTGTCCCCTTGATGGGTGGCTGTGTCCTCCATCGCTTGAGCCCTGTTGGAGCATCCTGAGTCCTGACAGCTCTCAGGCTGTGCTGAGTCACCTGCCACACCGGGAAGCATCCTTGTAGTACCTGTTTCAAGGAGGTCACCAGACACACATGCCCAGGTCTCAGCCCTGCTTGGTGTGACATCACCTTCTGCTTTCGCAGCAGCTCCTGCCATTTTGCTAGGATCCAGGGGAGTAGCCAACACTTCTCCAGCCAACATTTTGGGGGCATCCTGGTTGCCCAGCACATTTTGCATGTCTGCAGTACTGACAGCAGCTTCAATTGGTCTCTCACCCCCAAGTGTGGAAGGGATCCAGGGCTCACTGTTAGATTTGGGTACGCTCAAAACGCTTCCATGAGGAGAGTCACTTGGGGCACAGGTGGATCCTGATAGATTACTTGGACCCTTAGTGTGAGCAGGGTCCTGGGCACCATCTTCTCTGTGTTGACTGTTGATGGGCAATGTTTCCAGGTGCTCTTCTACAGAATGGCTTTTGTCACCTTGAGCAGAAGCCTCATCTACATCTCCATGGCTCTGGGGAGCCACAGGGAAGCCAGAAGCTCTTTCTGCTGGTACCCCCTGAACAACTGCAGAAGAGGGAAGGCCCACTGCTAACTCCTGCCTGCTTCTTGCCTGCTGTGAGTGAGCCGGAGCTCCCTGGCCAGGTTCTCCAGTCCCCTCTAGCCTTTCACTTGTCACTGTCAGTGGGACACAGGTTACCTCTCCTTCAACACTGGCACCTGGCGTGCTCTCCTCCAAGGCTGTCTCTGCCAGACCCCCCAGCTTCTCTGGTGTTGGGTCCTGGGGAACTGGATGAGAAACCTCAGCCTCAACAGCTGACTCTTGCTTCTTCTCCACCTGGAGTCCTGCAGGAGGTACAGGGAGAGGGGCAGCAGCCACTTCTTGAGCCCCATCTAGAAACTTTTCTGTGTTCAGTGAGACATCGGGGCCCTCAACCAGCACACTCCTTGGAACTTCTGACTTTTTACTAGGCATACTATGGGGCCGATTGGCAGCCAGGGCTCCAAGCACTGACTGCTCAAAGATCTTGGTGATATGCTCCCTGAAGTCAGGTAGCCCCGCTATCATGTTGGTCTGCTTGGAGCCTGCGCCCTCACTACCTGATGTAACAACCCTCAAATCTGAGGTAAGTTCTACCTCCCTCTCCCTGTTACCCTCTGTCTCTCCTGCTGCTTCCTCACTAGCACAGCATGCTGCAGTCTCAGAGGGCCTGGCATTTGCTTCTGGAGTGGCAGCCACATGCATGTCTCTTGCCTTCTGCTCATCACTGACCAGGAGAGGCATTCTGTCCAGGTAGGGCATGAGACTCACATGTCCCTTAGTGGTTCCAGCTTGGGGGATACCATTACCATCCTCCGCTGCTGAGATTTCCCCATCTGCGGTTCCTGGTTGTGAGACTGCGGTGAAGGAGGCAGCAGGTATCTTTTCAGGGGTGTCATTTTCCAAAGCAGGTGGAGATTCCTTTACAGGGCTTTCATGAGGTGCTCCAGGGTCCTCAGAGGAAACAGCTCTCATGCTACCACCTTCTGCATACTTCCTGTCAGCACCACTGATGTGCAGGTAAGGGGTGGCAGGCACAATCTCTTCAGGTGATTCAGCTGGCAGAAGGCTCTGTGGGCCTGAAACAGTGTGGTGTGTTAGAACATCCACAGTACTTCTGGGAATCCCATCTGATTCTCCAGCTGGCGGCAAGGCATCCCCACAGCTGGGCTCAAGCTGTGCAAGTTGGCATGGCTCATTCAGGGTGGAGGTGAGGCTCTGGTCGGTCTGAAAGAAGCCGCTACACAGAGCAGCGTCTGGTACCTCTGAAGCCTGCTGCGTCCCAGAGTCTCCTTTGCTGGCATTGACATTCACCTCCGAAGATCCACCTTTATCATCTTGTTCCTCTGCTCTCTGGAAACTTCCAAGAGGACTCTGTTCTTCTGGACCCAAGGTGGCCAGCTGCTCCATTTCCAGCTGTGGGGCTGACTCTTTCTGGCTCTCATCACAGGCCTCGCTCCCTAGGGCATCCTGGGTGGGTGTGACCCTGGGACTGGTAGGCACTGGGTCTGGAGAACAGTGTGCTGTATCCAGGAGAGCTACTGAGTCAGGTGGACAAGGCGGGGCCTCAACTATGTTTCTACTTGCTGTCTCTATCTTATCCAAGCCCTGAGGCAGAGGCAGTACGTCACTGGCTTCAGAAATGCCCAAGTCCCCACAACGTGCTTCTTCACGCTGGCTGCCTGTTTTCAAAGTATCAGCCAGCTCCTGTTGGGACTTGTTCAGCCCCTGCCCAATAAAGAAACTATCCTTTCCACCCAAGTTTCCTGTAAGAGAGGTGTCTGCTGTAGGAGGCAGGATCTCCGAGGGCTGACTGCTTCTGCCTGTGCCCTCTTGCTCAATCCTCCCTAGTGCAGGCAACTTTTGTCCCAATGGGGTTGACAGTTCTGACATCTCTGATGGTGCCCCTCCCAGAACTGTATCCTTGGGTGATGAACTTGGAGTATCGCATGGGCTGCCTTTGGAGGGAAGTTCTGACCATGGCTCCTTTCCTCCTTGAGTAGACAAACTCACATCCTCCCAAGACTTCCCATCCTCAGGCACTGGGGTTGGAGAAGGATCTGTACTCTGCTTCTTCAGATCTGGGCCACAAGCCCTTTGTCCATTTGTAGGTGATTGGTCCTTGTCACAGAGAATAGCAAAGATGGATGTTTCTGGGTCCAATTGGGATGGCTGGAGAGGGTTCTTTGAAGGTGGTGGGAGACTGTCCCCTGGGCAGGACAGTTTTCCCTGACAGTCTTGTTCTAGACCGAGCATAGCAAGTCCATGGCCTATTGTTGAGTCTTTCCTATTGGCGGAAGGTGACACATCAGCATAGACTTCCTGTCCAGGTTCAACCTTCTCCAGCCCACAAGGTTGGCCTGGGGACATCAGCAAGCCATCCCTGTCACAGCTGTAGGGCTGATGCAAGGGTGAGTGGTTCTTCTTTATTTCCAATATATCCTCCATCTCCCCAGCTTTGGGTACCTCCTCCACAGCTGTAGACGGCAGGAAATCTGCTTTCTCAGATTCTGAAGCAGGAAGTGACTCTGTTGCTTCCAGTCCTCCCCTGTCCTGAAGCAGGATGGGGCTTTTGGTCTGCAATCTTGAACTTTCCCAGATGGCTTCTTGGGAAAGAAAGTGATCACCAGTCCCACCCGATGCTGAGGACAGGATGGGATCTGCCTCATGGAGTTTGTGCAGTGAGGTAGTGGTGTCAGTCACATGGGATTCAGCAACCACCTGCCCCACTACCTCTGCTGACCCAGAGTGCGACCCATCCATGTGGCCAGCAACCTCTTGTCTAAGTGGCCGTGTTGAGTCTGAGCTGGGAACGAACTTGTTCTCTTCATCACTGTGTGGCTTTGAAACCTCATCTTTCTCAGTCTCCAGATGGGGCTTGCCGTGAAAGGCTTGAGACTTCTCTTCGTCATGGTTCCGAGCCTCTGTACCAGCAAGGGCTCTGGTGGCTTCTTGCTGTCCCTCAGGGTTGTCTCCATGTGATCTGCTTTCCTTTCTAGCTATAACTGTATTTTCAATATTTTGGGGGGCCTTGGGACCATCAGTTGGTCCTATTGACCTTCTAGAACTTTCATTTGAAACGCCATGGGGGAAAGTTGGCAGCAACATCCCTTGTTGGACTGTATCATTTTGCCCCTGCAAGAAAGGTACAGGAACCCTCTGGTGGTTACCTTCAGATTTTCCTTGTGTACTTCTAAGATCTGATGTTGGCTTCAGTTCTGCCTCCCATGTATCCATCTGTTCTGTGGCGGCCAGATCTGCAGAAACTGACATCTTCGTCTCAGAAACTGTCTCCGTGGATTCTTCTGAGACAACAGAATTCCAAGCAGCTGGATGTGTAGTGAGACTCGAAGCTGTATGCGTTTCCTCTGTTCTAGTGAATGGAAGGGCCTCAGCGCTCAGAAGCAAGCTCCCATCTGGCTGGCTGGCTGTTGCCACACAGACAACTTTCTGGGAGTCAGTTCCTGATGTCCCTGTCTGTGGCTGGCTCTGAGCATCACTGCTATCCAGAGTCTCTTTCCAGGAGCCACTGTCTGCTGGTGCTGTGGTAAAACCTAGTGGGCCTGAGGGCAGCTCTGCACATGGCAGATGCATTTCCATTTTCTGCTGGCAGCTTTCCTGGGAGGCAGTGCTTGTCCCTGCTCCAGGGTTAGCTCTGGAGTTGCTTTTAGAGGGATGGCAGCCTCCAAGAAATTGCAAGTTCTTGGCCGAATATGTAGGCGACACCTCCGCTCCGCCTCTTTCTCTCTCTGATGATCTTAGGACTGAATCTTGTGGAACCATGGTCTCAAGTTTTGGGGGAGACTCAAGGACAGCTGAGTTTTGCATCCCCAGCTGAATGGCAGCAAGGGCTTTAGTGGTTGACTCTGGGGAGGAACAGTCGTCTATATCCTCTTTCCTTTGAAACTCAAAATCACGAGGCCCATTACCCTCTCCATACAGCATCTTTGTCCTTGGCTCCTGGAGAGGAACTAGGGAATTTCCTGGCAATTGGCCAGTACAACTGGAGGATGAGCTTGGTCCCTCTTCCTTCAGCTCTTTGTCTCCTTCAGCACTGAGGGTTCTGGCAGCCACTGAGTGCTGTGTGGAGCCATCTACTTCAGAAGTAAATGTTGGTAATGTATCCCCTGGGATGTTGGGGGACGGTCCCATTCTAAGGTGATTTGTGAAGGTAGCATCTTCAGGTGCTTCTGCTTCTGAGCTTGCCAAGCAACCTTCTGAGGGGCCCTCGGTGAAGGGCATGGAGGCTGAGGGGCACGGCTGTTCCCAAGGCAGAGATGATGTGGGCAGTAGAGAACCTTCTGGGCCCCTGGCTTCCTGGGGGTGCTCCCCTTGCTCAGTCACCTCTGGGGACACAGTGCACGGATCCAGGCTGGCAACACTTTCAGAAGCAGAGCAGGAACCTCCTAGCCCAGTGCTGCCAACAATGAAAACATGGATTGTTTCATTGGTTCTCACGAGATGCCAAAGATAGAGCCACATCCAGGCAGAATGACCCCACTCTGACCGCCACCAAAAGGCTACCAGGAGCCTCCACCAAAACCATACTGACTGCATGCAGCTGCTTCCATAAACATTATGCATGCCCTTGCTTCTTCAAAGACCAATGCGGGAAGTCTCAAACATCCCGGTGTGGGACTTTCCATGCAGGTCAGTCATGAACAGGGAAATACGGAAACTCATTGAAAATGTTTGTTTTTAAAAATGCAGAAAATTTCCTTTCATGTGACATGTGAACTTGTGTGTGTGTACATACATGTGGAAGCCAGAGGACAACCTGGAGTGCTGATCCTCACATTGTTTAAGGCAGAATCTTTTTGTTGTTCTTCTGTGTACACCAGGAGGAATCTCCTATCTCTGCCTCCCATCTTCCCTTAGAAACATGGAGGTACAGATGCTCGGCTGGCTGGCTTTTGTGTGAGTTCTGAGGGTTCGAACTTGGGTCTTCATGCTTGCTCAGTGAGTACTTTTATCTGCTGAGCCATCTCCTCAGTTCCAATACCTCATTTTTCTGAGATGGACTATCTCACAGACTGGGCTGGCTAGCCACTGAGCTCCAGGAATATGTCTCTTTCTGCCTCCCCAGTACTTGTATTATAAGCATATACCACAATCCTGTCATTTTTTTTTTAATGTGCATTGTGGGGACTTAACTCAGCCCTCATTCTTGCCAGGCAGCTTCCCAGGGAGCTTTTTAATAGACAGATAGACAGACAGACAGACAGACAGACAGACAGAGTGGGACAAAGGTGAACAAGTTCTGGAATCCTTTGGTATTTAGGGAAAAGACATAAGTTAGAAAAACTGAGATTGGAAGTTGAAGGCTATTCTTTTTTGTTTTTGTCTTGTTTTAGACACAGGGTCACAATATGTAGCCCTGGGTGTCCTGGAACTCAATTTGTAGACCAGGCTGGCCTCAAACTCATAGAGCTCCATTTGCCTCTGCCTCCCAAGTACTGGGATTACAGGTATATACCACCACATTCAGATGCATTTTAATTTTATAAACAATGTAATGGCTGACAAAGAATTATGAAAACACCCTTATGTGCTTTCCACTTGCAATAGTCTAGTCACCTCCCTTCCGGGTTTCCTATACTCTTTCTCTAGGGTATGTTTTATTTTACTTTACTTTGTTTACAGCTGTGATTCTATGTATGTACTATGATTAAATATTTCCTGGTATGGAGAGAAGTTACTTAAGGCAAATCTGACACAAATACAGTTTTTCTAAAGCTTTGAATTTTTAAACATTTTATTTTTAGTTATGTGCATGGGTTGGTAAGTAGACATGTGTGTCTGTGCATGTGTGTAGTGCTCACAGAGGCCAGAAGGGTTGTTGGGTTCCCTGGAGCTAAAGTTGTAGGAGGTAGTCAGCCACCTGACATGGGTGTAGGGAACAGACCTCAGGTCCTCTACAAGAGAGCATGCACATTTAACTTATAGAAGCTTTGATAATACCCATGCGCACGCACCTATAGACACATTGTATTCAGCGGAAAGTTTCTACTCTCCATATCCACTAGGAAATTTCCCATACAAGGCAACACATATGCATTCTCATCCATGCAGGACACATAGGGTGGAAAGGTGCGGTGTATTCTTATTAAAATGTATAGGATTGGGGCTGGGCGATGGCTCGGTGCGGAGCTTGCTTACTAAGCAAGCATGAAGACCTAAGTTTGGCTCTCCAGAATCCGCACAGGAGCTGATTGTTGTAGTGCAACCCCAGGACGGGAAGACAGGTAAGAATTATGCAGCTCTTAGGGGCTCACTGACCAGTAGTCTAGGCAAAACAGCAGTTCCAAGTCCAATGAAAGACCTGGTTCCCCAAAATAAGGTGGGGCCTATCCTGTCTCCAGGTTGCATTATTGTCTGGAAGAGAACCAGGAATACAAGTTTTGTAATGATTTGGAGTGCCAATTTTGTTTTTATTCTGACAAGATATAGTTATCTGATGTTTCTTCAATTATCTTATTTTAATAAAATAAATTAAAATTAAAGAAATAAAGTGGAAAGCAATAGAAAAAGACTCAATGCCAACCTCTACCCTCCACACTTACACAGGCAAGCACATTCAAACATACACATGCACACACATGGCATACACACTACTCACAAACTCTTAGAAATATGTGCTGACCTGTATGTTTGCCTAAATCTGTGTTGATGCCCTAGGCTCCAGTATGACTATTTGGGGATTAAGAACAAAAGTTAAATGAGATCATGGGTGCCTAATCCAGGAGGACTGGGGTCCTTATGTACAGGATGAGAGACAGCAGAGGAGGGCCACATGAGGACACAGTGACAAGATGGTTTTTGCAAGCCAGAAAGAGAGGCCTCACCAGAAACTAGCCCTATAACACCTCGACCTGAACTTCCAGCAGTTGGCACTGTGAGAAAATATCTCTGTTGTGTAGCGGGCAGGCTGAGATAGTCTATCACGGCAGCCCAAGTAGACTAATAAAGCAAGCATGTGGGCATCTACTGAATGGGCATCTATTGTCCTTTCTTTTCAATGTTTCTGAGGCTTCAACCTTTCCAAAATAACACGTTGAGAAACAGGAATGGATGGAATGGTATCAGTGCTTGGCATGGATCATCTCATTAAACTAGTAAGCAGTAGATACCATGGGTGTTGCCCCTGCTATTTGCAGATGAGAACACAGAACAGGAGGCTGAGCCTGGATCTTGATTGGACATCTTCCTACTCTCTCTTTGTGATGCTGAAAGAACAAAACCTCCCAAGGAAGAGAGGAGGCTCTGTACTCCACCTGTTGCAGCCTCTCTGCCAAGCCAGCCACCTCTGCATGGGACAGCATCTATGTCCTTCAAGGAGGTATGGCCATCCCATTGACATGGCAGCCATCTTGGCATAACACCTATTCCTGCACATAAGAGGCGTGATGGATGCCTGAGGACCCAAGCTGGAGTAGGCTACAATTTCAAGCAACTTAGCATTTTCTGACCCTAAAGGAAAGTCAGCAGGGTAGAGAATAATGGGAGAAGAAGAGAGGGAGGGTGCTGGTGGAAAGAGAGAGGCTCCACTGTACATGTAGTCATCCAGAACAGGAAGATAGCTGACCCAGCACTGGTAGACATGTGCAAAACTGCCCTGAGTTTGAGTAAAGCATATGGATGTGGATTTGGCCTTTTGGAAAAGTACCAAGGAGGGAGCCAGAAATGGGGTATGGAGTTTGATAGGCCTTTCCATCGCTGCTGTGATCCCAGCCTGGAGGTTTTTTCCTTTTAACAAGGACTTTACATGTCAGAATATCCCACCTGTGAACCAAGCCAAACAGTTTAGCAGAGGGTGGGACTTAGAGTGCTCCTATATATATTTGTCTCCCTTCAAACCCCATTTATCACACTGAAAATGAAGCAAACAAAGCCATTTCCACAGCTGCTTTCTACAGAGACTGACAGTGAAGGGGAGTCCATGGTTTCCCTTCAGGATGATTGAAGTCATCACCATCCAAGAGACAGGCTGACAGATGTACCTCTGTAAACTTACTCATTCTTATCAGAGAGCAACCAGAAATGAATTCCATTGAGTGTGGGACACACAACAACTCCCTCTGAAGCAGAGTCCAAGGTCGGTCTATTTAGCATAAGACCAGACCAGGGATCTCTTTGATTACCCATCAGAAGCAATACTAACAGTCAGATTAAAGCCACTTGCCAGAAGCAGATTTGCCTAAAGGCAGCAGAAATCTTAAGAACTGGTCTGTTGAGGGTTCTGCACTAATTAGACTGACATAAATCCTTTTATGCTTCAAGATTGAATACAAATGTATGGGATAAGGCTGTGTTCACAATCAGTTGAGGCAGCAAGTGTCCTTTGTAGAGGCCTTTCTGAGATCAGGAAGGACAAAGGACCACAGCTTCTTTCTGGGGCAGACTCTGCCTACAGCACCCTAAAGGAACAACGTAAGGGTGTTGGCCCAAGAATAGCAGACACTTGCTAAGCAAACATTGAAGGTCACAGAAAAGGTCCTCCCCACTGCCTTGGTACAAACATATCCGACTAGGTTCCTAAACACACAGGTCTGAAAGCACACAGCAATGCTTACCTACAAGGATGCTAACTGGAAAATGTAAATATAGCTGCTGCATCCCTGGCCTCTAAGACCCACACTAAAGCAAGACAGCATCAGTGGAGAGTTGCCATGTACTGAGTATTTATTTATTCAAGCCAAGCCCATGCTGAGCACTCCAAGTTACAATTTCATTTAAAGCACACAGCAGCTTGGTAGACGGGATGTCCTCTCTTGAAAAAAAAAAAATGATCCCAGAGAGGGTCTAGCTAGAAGGGAGTGAACCATTGATGCAAAGCAAAATCAAGACACTGCCTGGCTCTAGAGCTGTTTTCTGTACTTCCTGTCTACACCAGCTTCTCACCTGGACAGGTACAGCCATCGGTCTCCCATGTACACTTGCCCCCTTCTTTCTCAACTCCAGGCACCAGGTAGAGCACTGGCTTAGAAATGTCACCTGTGTGGGTTTTTGTGACAGCTATCCCCCAGCCTCTGACATCTCCTACTCCATCCTATACAGGGATACCTAGTATCTTGGAACCTATTTGCTCCTCCTTAGAAATCTCAGTGAAGTCCCTCTGGCCTTGGATCCCAGGACACCTAGTATTAGGCACAGTGACCATCCATGGGATTGATGACAATTTCCCTCCCTGGAATCTAGATCCTTGCCTACTTTCAACACTGTACTCATAATACCCAGTATATGACAATACTCAATAGATAATACTATAGAATAGATGAACATATAAGTGGATGGATGGATGGATGGATGGATGGATGTGGATGCTGGGTAGATGGGCAGATAGATGGATGGAGATATATATATATATATATATATATATATATATATACATATAAATACACACACACACACACACAC